CTAAAACCAACCACCTGCTCCCTTGACCCCATCCCCACTCCACTCCTTATCTCCCAGCTCCACTTTCTTGCCCCACATATCACCGACATCATCAACCTGTCCCTCTCCTCTGGCTCTGTCCCCATTCCCTTAAAAACTGCCACCATCACACCCACCCTGAAAAAACCCTCCCTTGATGCGTCGCAGCTATCAAGCTACCGGCCCATCTCCAACCTCCCCTTTCTCTCCAAGGTCCTGGAAAGAGTTGTCGCCTCCCAACTGCGCTCTTTCCTTTCCACCCATTCACTTTTCGAACCCCTTCAGTCAGGTTTCCGTGCTGCCCATAGCACAGAAACTGCCCTGGTCAAGGTCACCAATGATATCCTGACCATCTGTGACCAGGGCTCCCTCTGCCTCCTCGTCCTCCTCGACCTATCGGCAGCATTCGATACGGTCGACCACGCTATCCTACTCCACCGCTTGTCCTCCCACCTCAACCTTCAAGGCACTGTCCTTGAGTGGTTTAGGTCGTACCTTTCTCACCGTCTTCACTTTGTCTCGACGAATGGCTTCTCCTCCACCCCCCGTACTGTCTCATGTGGTGTCCCTCAGGGCTCTGTCCTCGGTCCCCTCCTCTTCACCCTCTATATGCTCCCCCTTGGTGACATCATCCGCAGACATGGAGTTAACTTCCACATGTATGCGGATGACACCCAACTCTACCTTTCCTCCTCTACTCTCAACTCCACGACCACCGATGTCCTGACAGCTGCCTGTCCGACATCGAGTCCTGGACGAGAGACAACTTTCTTCAGCTCAACGTGCGAAAAACCGAGGCCCTCCTGATTGGTTCGCGTCAGCGCCTCCGCACCTCAGGCGCCGACACCATCAGCATCCAAGGCTGCACTCTCCACCTCTCAAAGCCAGTCAGGAACCTCGGCGTTTTGTTCGACCCTGAGCTGTCCTTTCTCCCTCACATCCGCATCACAACTGGCACCGCCTTCCATCACCTCCGGAACATCGCCAGACTACGGCATTACCTCACCCCTCACGCGGCTGAAACCCTGGTTCGCGCCTTTGTCACCTCAAGGCTGGACTATGGGAACTCTCTCCTCGCCGGCCTTCCCGCCACCTCCCTCCACAAGCTGCAGGTCATTCAGAACTCTGCAGCTCGTGTACTGTCCCGCACCAGACATCGCGACCCCATCACTCCCACCCTCGCTCGCCTCCACTGGCTCCCCATCCCCCAGAGGATTGATTTCAAGATCCTCATCCTCACCTACAAGGCCATTCACGGCCTCGCTCCCTCCTACCTCTCCAACCTACTATCCCCCTACCTACCTGCCCGTACCCTCCGTTCCTCCGGCTCCGGTCTGCTCCATGTCCCCCGCCCCAACCGCCCTTCCATCGGTGGTCGGGCCTTCAGCCTCTCAGCCCCGAGGCTCTGGAACTCTATCCCCCAGTGCCTTCGCCTTGCTTCCTCCCTCTCCTCCTTCAAGGCCGGTCTCAAAACCTTTGCTCTTTGACCATGCCTTCAGCTCCCCTCTCGACTCTCTTCCCCCTCCTCGCTCCCTCCCTTCCCTCCCCTCACCCTGACCATTTCCCCCCTGCTTGGGTCATGACCCAACTGTGCAGCGCCTTGGGACGTCCTCCTGACGTGAAACGCGCTTTATAAATGGAATCTTGTTGTTGTTGTTGTTGTTGTAGGAGACCATGGATGAAGAGGTCAGAGTGCGAGTGGGAGGCAGAGTTGAAGTGGCAAGAAACCGGAAGCTCAGGGTTGTGCTTGCGGACAGAACAGAGGTGTTCGGCAAATCGGTCACCCAATCTGCGTTTGGTCTCCCCAATGTAGAGGAGACCACATCATGAGCAATGAATACAGTAAACTACATTGGTGGTAGTAAACATAAATCGCTGTCTCACTTGAAAATTGTGTTTGGGGCCCTGGACAGTGGTATGGGAGGGGGTGAATGGGCAGGCATCTCCTGCGCTGGCATGGGAAGGTGTCAGGGGTAGGAAAGCAACTGTTGGTGGTGATGGAGGAATGAACCAGGAAGTCATGGAGGGAACGGTCCCTTCGCAATGCTTAGAGGGAAGGGGAGAGAAAGATATGTTCAGTGGTTGGATCATCCTGGAAGTTCCAGAAATGGTGGAGAATTATTTGTTGGATGTTGAGTCTGGTGGGGTTCAAAGTGAGGACTACGGGGACCCTATCAAGGTTCTGGGAAAAGGGGGTAGGGGTGAGGGCAGAGGTGTGGGAAAAAGGGCGAACACAATCAAGGGCCCTGCCTACCACAGTGAATGGGTATCCTTGGTCGAGGAGAAAGGAAGACACTTCAGCTGCTCTGGTGTGAAAAGTGGCATCGTCAGAGCAGATGGGACAAAGGCGGAGTAACTGGGAAAAGGGAACGGAGCCTTTACAGGAGGTGGGGTGGGAGGAGGTGTAGACAACTATGGAAGTTGGTGGGCTTGTAAAAGATATCTGTTGATAATCTATGCCCTAAGATGGAAATGGTGAAGTTGAGGAAGGGAAGAATCGGAAATGAACCAAGTGTATGTTATGGAGGGGTGGAAGGTGGAAGCAAAATTGGTGAATTATTCCAGCTCACTGCAAGAGCAGGAAGTAGCCCCAACACAGTCGTCAATGTATCTGAAGAACAGGTCAGCGAGCAGACCTGAGTAGGCCCAGAACAAAGAGTGTTCCAGGTGGCCAACAAACAAACAGGCGTAGCTGGAACCCATGCGGGTTTCCATAGTGAAACCTTTTACTTTTACAGTGTTATGTCCAGGGTGATAGTGGGGCACTACAATTTGTCTCACCGTGCTGTATCAGGGAGGTGAAAATCAGTCAGGATTTCACTGCTGTTGCTGGTAAGTGACTCCCCGCTGGAGGTGCTTGTGTGGTGCAGGATTCAACTTGGCTGCAATTTCACTCAGAGTCGACAGCTACTATCGCTACTTACACTCAAGGCTCACACATGGATAAAGGACCCTGGAGTGAGGAACCGACCCAGTGAAGAATAGTGGTTAAATCTCTTCATTTAAATTTAAACCAGTGAATAACTTCTGTTTCACCAAAGCCCCAATGCTATAGTCATTCAACTATATACCAACATTCTATATTATGGTAAGGGGTGGGGGGGCGGTCTCCTTACAGCTGAACTGGCTCCAAGGTGACATACAACAACATGAACAACAACAACAACAAAATTCCATTTATAGAGCGCCTTTTACGTCGGGAAGACGTCCCAAGGCGCTGTACAGTTGGGTCAGGACCCAAGCAGGGGGGAAATGGTCAGGGTGAGGGGAGGGAAGGGAGGGAGCGAGGAGGGGGCAGAGAGTCGAGAGGGGAGCTGAAGGCTCGGTCAAAGAGAAAGGTCTTGAGACCGGCCTTGAAGGAGGAAAGGGAGGAGGCGGCGAAGGCACTGGGGGATAGAGTTCCAGAGCCTCGGGGCTGAGAGGCTGAAGGCCCGACCACTAGGGCGGTTGGGGCGGGGGACGTAGAGCAGACCGGAGCCAGAGGAACGGAGGGTACGGGCAGGCAGGTAGGGGGATAGTAGGTCGGAGAGATAGGAGGGAGCAAGGCCGTGAATGGCCTTGTAGGTGAGGATGAGGATCTTGAATTCGATCCTCTGGGGGATGGGGAGCCAGTGGAGGCGAGCGAGGGTGGGAGTGATGTGGTCCCGAAGCCTGGTGCGGGACAGTACACGAGCTGCAGAGTTCTGAATGACCTGCAGCTTGTGGAGGGAGGGCCGGGAAGGCCGGCGAGGAGAGAGTTCCCATAGTCCAGCCTTGAGGTGATAAAGGTGTGGACCAGTGTTTCAGCCGCGTGAGGGGTGAGGTAGTGCCGTAGTCTGGCGATGTTCCGGAGGTGATGGAAGGCGGTGCCAGTTGTGGCGCGGATATGAGGAAGAAAGGACAGCTCAGGGTCGAGCAGAACACAGAGATTCCTGACCGGCTTTGAGAGGTGGAGAGTGCAGCCTTGGATGCTGATGCTGTCAGCGCCTGAGGTGCGGAGGCGCTGACGTGAGCCAATCAGGAGGGCCTCAGTTTTGCGCACGTTGAACTGAAGAAAGTTGTCTCTCGTCCAGAACTCGATGTCGGACAGGCAGCTGTCAGGACATCAGTGGTCGTGGAGTTGAGGGTAGAGGAGGAAAGGTAGAGTTGGGTGTCATCCGCATACATGTGGAAGTTAACCCCATGTCTGCGGATGATGTCACTAAGGGGGAGCATATAGAGGGTGAAGAGGAGAGGACCGAGGACAGAGCCCTGAGGGACACTGCACGAGACAGTGCGGGGGGGGGGGTGGAGGAAAAAACATTTGTGGAAACGAAGTGAAGACGGTGGGAGAGGTACGACCTAAACCACTCAAGGGCAGGGCCTTGAAGGTTGAGGTGGGAGGACAAGCGGTGGAGGAGGATAGCGTGGTCGACCGTATCGAATGCTGCCAATAGGTCGAGGAGGACGAGGAGGCAGAGGGAGCCCTGGTCACAGATGGTCAGGATGTCATTGGTGACCTTGACCAGGGCAGTTTCTGTGCTATGGGCAGCACGGAAACCCGACTGAAGGGGTTCAAAAAGAGAATGGGTGGAGAGGAAAGAGCGCAGTTGGGAGGCGACAACTCGTTCAAGGACCTTGGATAGGAAGGGGAGGTTGGAGATGGGCCGGTAGCTTGATAGCTGCGACGCAACAAGGGAGGGTTTTTTCAGGGTGGGAGTGATGGTGGCAGTTTTTAAGGGAAAATACCGAGCAATGGGATGGCGGAATCCAGATCTCGGGGGCGGGGTGACGCGGGGTGACGGGTGACGCTGGGGGACGGGGTGACGCTGGGGGGCGGAGTGACGCTGGGGGGCGGGGTGACGCGGGGTGACGGGATGACGCTAGTGGACGGGGTGACGTTAGGAGACGGGGTGACGCTGGGGGACGGGGTGACGCTGGGGGACGGGGTGACGCGGGGGGGCGGGGCGGGGATCGCAAGCTTCGATTCTCAGCGGCTGCGTCACCATGACAACGGAGGCGCAGTCCCGGCGTCCCTGGCGACCGGCGCTGTTCCAGTCTTGAGGAGCCGCTCTCTCTCTCTCTCTCTCTCCTGTTTAACGTGACCAGGGCCCGTGCAGCTGCTGCAACATGTTCAAGAACGAATATCAGGTAATGTTGTTGGTTGTACATTGAGAAATTGTCACCATGACCATCACTGTCTGACTGACTGCACTCACTGCATCACACGCTGATGGTTTGCGTTCCCAGGGATATCACAAGTTTGGTTTGGGTGAAGAGGCCCTTCGGTTCATCTGATCTCATACCTCCAGAATACCTGTCCAGGTCCCCCAAATCCCAATAATTTAAGAACATAACAAGGAATTTAAAGTAAATCAATTGTGGCAGAGAGCTTTGTGGAGCTGGACAGGGATGGGGTGATGGGCTGTGGAACTTACTGCAGGGCATTGCTGATTTCGAGCAGCGTGACATAATGTGACATTTGGTGATCGAGTCCATCCTGTCATTGTTTCTCGTGTTAATAATTATTGTATTTAAATTGGTCAATCAATTTAGAAAAAAAACTCTTATTTTACTTTAAAGGGAGGACCATTTGTAGAAATCTTTAGCTCCCAAGGGAAGGATCCGGTAGCAAAATGGAAGCTGTGTGGCAGTCCCGCAATCCATAAAGTAAGTTACTGGCTACAATTCTAGCTGGAATTATTTAGATTCTAACATTTCTTAAAGTTCTGTTAATAATGTATTAAAATCTGTTGTATTCACTGTGCTGTATCCATTGTGTGTGGTATCCTAATTCTATGCTTATATAAGTTTCATAAGACTTTGAAACACTGTATCTAATAGCAGCACTTATCAGAAACTACATGAGCACAACTACTGCAGTATCCAAGACAATTCTGAACAAGTAATTTACCTAATAGTTCAATCCTTCAGTTCAAAGCCCTTTTCAAATGGCTTGCAGATTGGAGCTCAAAGAGTAGTTCATTTCTAACCTCTTTCAAAGTTTTGTGAGCACTTTTCAAGTTCTCAAAACATTTTATGGAGATGGAATGGGAGGAGGATCCCAATCCCTCTCTGTAAGGCACCTTGAAATGTTTGAGCATGTGAAAGGTACTATATGAGTGGAAGTGGTTTGATTTGACTGACAAGCAACTTGCCTGTACTTTGTTTCTGTGACAAAAGCCCATAAAGGGAGTGGCAGCAGATACAGAACTGGCTGGGTGACAGAAAGCAGAGAATGGTGGCGAATGGTTGTTTTCCTGAATGGAGGGAAGTGTGCAGTGGTGTCCCCCAGGGTCGGTATTGGGACCATTGCTGGTTTTGATCTATATTACTGACCTGGACTTGGGTATAGGGAGTACAATTTCCAAGTTTGCAGATGATATTAAGCTCGGAAAAATAGTAAACAGTGTGGAGGGTAGTAGCAGACTGCAAATTGAAGTAGACAGACTGGTAAAATGGGCAGACAAGTGGCAGATGATGTTTAATGTGGAGAAATGCGAAGTGATGCATTTTGGGAGGAAGAATGAGGAGAGGCAATATAAGCCGATGGTACAATCTTATAGGGGGTTCATTTAAGTAAATCTTTGAAGGTGACAGTACAGTAGATAAAGCTGTTAAAAAAGCATACTGGATACTAGGCTCTATAAATAATGGAATAGAATACAAAGTCAGGAAATTATGATGGACCTTTATAAAACACTGGTTAAGCCTCAGCTAGAGACTATGTTCAGTTGTGGACACCATACTTTAGGTGTCAAGGCATTGGAGAGGATGCAAAGGAGATTTACCAGGATGGTACCAGGAATGAAGGACTTCAGTTATGAGGGGAGGCTAGAAAAGATGGGATTATTCTCCTTGGAGCAGAGAAGGTTAAGAGGAGACTTAATAGAATTTTCCAAAATTGTGAGGTGATTCAATAGGGTAAACATGGAGAAACTATTTCCACTGGCGGGTGTGTAGGTAACCCGAAGACACTGATTTAAAATAGTTGTTAAAAGAAACAGAGGGGAGGTGAGGAGAAATTTTTTCGTACATCGAGTTGTTCGCATCTGGAAATGCATTGCCTGAAAGAGTGGTGGAAGCCGATTCGATAACAATTGTTAAGAGAGAAGTAGATCATTATTTGGGGAGAACAAGTTAGCAGGGCTATTGGGGAGAGCGGGTGAGTGGGATTGATTTGGATAGCTGTTTTCAAAGAGCCGGCACAAACATGGGTCAAATCGCCTCCTTCTGTGCTGTATAATTCTGTGATTCTATGAAGCTGACTCCATTCTTCTCCACAAACGTGTATGCTTAATTGTCGATGAGAAAGCACTTCTTGGACAGTTAGCAAGTAGAATTTGATTTCTGCCCACCTCACTGCCCTTCTTGAAAACACAGGTGATAACAGTTGCACAAAGCACCTCGTTTTTAAGATGTTGTGCTTTGCTGTGATTTAATGAGATTTCCTTGATTACATATTTGTATATTTGATGGTACCTTGTCAGAATAAATTGCTTACACACACAAGCATAATGAGCATGTTAATTACTATCCATTCAAAATGCAATTTAATTTCTGGAGTGAAATAGCATCAAACAGATGGTCACCTTGTCTTCAGACTTCTATTACAGTTGAGTATCAAATCGTGACACCTCACTTAGTTTTTTGGAGTTCACCGAATGATCTCATTCCAAGATCTCTGTTCCATATCTTCTTCTCACTTGCTACCCCTTCACCCTGCTATATTCCTCTTAATATTCCCCTTATTTATCTTGGCTACATGTCTACAGAGGTAGTCTGTCAAGCTATTTCCAATATTCATCCTGGCATCTCATGAATGTGTCACCATTAGTTCTGTCATTATTCTGAGTGACCACTTTCATTTTAAGTTTTATATGGCATACAACAACAACAACCACAACAAGATTACATTTGTATAGCGCCTTTCACATCGGGAGGACGTCCCAAGGCACTGGACAGTGTACAGCATTTCAGACTGGAGCTGGGGTCAGGGGGGAGAAGGAAGAGTAAGGGAAGGGGGGTGACCAATGGCATGGTCGAAGAGGAGGGTTTTGAGGCGGGACTTGAAGGAGGCTAAGGAGGGGGCAAGGTGGAGTGATTGGGGGTTGGAGTTCCAGAGGTTGGCATATTACATTTTGAACATATGCAAAAAGAAGTCAGCACCTTGAAACAGCAACTTTCCAATGCTGAAACTCAACTCGGGGTGGAGAATCCAAGCACAAGTACAGGAAGCCACATTTTTGAGTATAGCTTTGTAATATGTTATTGCTTCAGCCCTTCTCTTCAGCAGTAGGGAAATGGGGAAATTGGGGATTTGGCCCACAGAGAATTGCAGGTATCTTGGCAGTCCAGAATCTGTTGAACTGTGTGTTTAACTGTGTCAGCAAGACCGAGCCCTCTTGATTGGCTCGCGCCATTGCCTCTGCACCTCAGGCACTGGCAGCATCAGCATCCACAGATGCACACTCCACCTCACCAAGCCAGTCAGGAACCTGGGTGCCTTGGTCAACCCTCAACTTTCTCCCCCATATCCGTGCCATGACCCTCTCTGCCTTCCCTCACCTCTGCAATATTGCCCGACTCTGTCACTGCCTCATACCTCAGGCTGACGAAACCCTCATAAATGCATTTGTCACCTCTAGGCTCTACCACGGAAACTCCCTCCTTGTCGGCCTTCCCAACTCTTCCCTCCACAAGCTGCAGATCATCCAGAACTTTGCAGCTCATGTCTTCTTCCGCACCAGGCTCAACGACCCCATCACCCTCACCCTCAACCGGATCCACTGGCTCCCCATCCCTCAGAGGATCGAGTTCAAAATCCTCATCCTCATTTTCAAGGCCCTCCATGACTTTGCCCCCTCGTACCTGTCTGACTTGCTCCCTCAGTTCAGCAGGCTCCGGCTTGCTCCATGTCTCCCGCCCTACCATCGGCGGCTGGCTTTCAGCCTCTCTGCCCCCACCCTTTGGAATTCAATCCCACAATCCCATCACCTTACTTCCTCTCTTGCCTCCTTCAAAGCAGAACTCAAGACCCTCCTTTTTGACCGTGCCTTCAGCTGCCCTCCTACCTCTCTCTGCCCTACCTCATCCCAATCCTGCTCCCACCCCACGCTTGGGTCCTGATCCCCAACTGTTCAGCACCTTTGGAAGTTTTTCCAAATGTGATTTGGAAGAACTGTAACAACAAAATTACATTTGTATAGCGCCTTTCGTATTGGGAGGACATCCCAAGACTATGGATAATCAGTGTTTTGGACCCTAGCTGGGAGTCGGGATCGTGGAGGATGTAGGGCAGGGGGAAGACATGGTCAAAGAGGAGAATCTTGAGACGGGTCTTGAAGGAGGCAAGGGAGGGGGTGAGGTGGAGGGAATGTGGGATGGAGAGTGGAGGGCGGGGGGAAGCAGAGTGATTGAAAGCACGATCGAAGAGTAGGGTGTTGAGATGGATCTTGAAGGAGACAATGGAGGAGGCGAGGCGGAGGGACTGTGGGTAGTTCCAGAGAATGGGTACAGAGTGGCAGAAGGCCCGCCTGCCAATGGTGGGGCGGGAGAGGTGGGGGACCTGAAGCAGCCCCGAGCTTGCTGAGCACAGGGAGCGGGCAGGTTGGTAGGGGTTTAGAAGGTCGCAGGGGTAGGGGGGAGCAAGGTCATGGAGGGCTTTGAAGGTGAGACCAGTATCCTAGAACTGTATCCTCTGTGTGATGGGAAGCCAGTGGAGTTGGGCAAGGATATGGGTGATAGGGTCGCAGAGCCTGGTGCAGAAGAGGACACGAGATGCAAAGTTCTGGATGATCTGCAGCCTATGGAGGGAGGAGTTGGGGAGACCGACCAACAGAGTTTGCGTGGTCGAGCCTGGATGTTCTGAATGCGTGTATGAGGGTCTCGGCAGCCTGCGGTGTGAGGCAGTGGTGGAGCTGGGCAAAGTTGTGGAGGTGGGGTAGGCAGAGCGGGTCATGACAGAGATATGGGGTAGGAAGGATAGTTGAGGGTCAAACAAGACACCAAGGTTCCGGACTGGCTTAGTAAGGTGGAGTGTGCATCTGTGGATGGTGATGCTGTCAGGGCCTGAGGTGAGGAGGCGCTGACAGGAGCCAATCAGGAGACCCTCGGTCTTGTTGACGTTCAATTGAAGAAAATTAGCTCTCATCCAGGACTTGATGTCTGACAGACATTCTGTCAGAACAGCAGTGCTCCTGGAATCGAGGGTGGAGGCAGGGAGGTAGAGTTGGGTGTCATCCGCATATGTGTGGAAATGTCTGCAGATGATGATCTGCGGATTTAAACATGGATCCCTATGTGGAGTCCTGTAGCTTAGTGGTTAGAGCACTCGCCTCGCAAGCGATAGGACCTGGATTCGATTCCCGGGCAGGGTGAAATGTTGGGCAAGTTACCCCAGATATTGTGAAATAGTAATTTACTTGATCTCACCTGTCTTTTAATTTGTATCTGACAGCTGTCTTTTCTCTGATGTGCATAGCCTTGAGTTTTGTTTCCTAACTTTCATAATATAAATGGTTATACTCTGTATTAAATTTAGCTAAGCTTTCCTGTAGGACATTTTTTCCATCTATTGCTAAATTGTCTTCATAAGGCAGATTTCTGACCTCGACAACTGCAAGCTGAACTCTTATAGATAATTGGTCCCTCATTTACTTATTTGTATA